TTTGGGCTATCTGATTTGGGGATCCTCCAATTGGGCTTCATTCCTTGGGCTATTCGATTTGGGCTGAACTTTTTGTGTGTCAACAAATAGTTTGTCAAAGATAATGAGAAGCAAAGGGGGGTTTATGAAGTTAAAGAATCTGGTAAAGTTTGTCTGCATAATGATCTCAGTTTCATTCGTTATCGTTCAGATAATTTCAGTTGGAAAAATCTCCATGTCAAAAGGTGCAACTGCTTCACTAAGATGCAAATCAAACAAGAATTGCTGTGAATGATTGTTATAAACCAAAAAAAAAAAAAAAATAAAAAACTCCAAGACCAAATGGTCCAGGCATGGGTGGACCATGCGAAAGCATGGATTTCAACTGTTTTTGGCCGTTGCAAATTTGATATTGGTGACTTTTCACTTGATTTTTTGACACCATTTCGTACTTCTGGTCGATGACTATATATAGGAGAGCCATGTTTGAGGGAATGATGTTAGAAAAATATCTTGCAGTTCATACTTTGTTCTAGGAACAATTAAATTTCGGTTTATACCCATATCTTCGTGTTCTTCAAGTTTTGGAGAATTTCACTTTGTGCTTTGGTGAAATTCTTTTTAAGGTTTATTACAATCCTTCAAACTATTTGCCAAAATATCCTTAAACATCTCATAAAGACCGGAGAGGGGGTAAATAACGTTTGAGGACAGCGATCCCACGTTCGAGCCTTCACATTTGGCGTTACAATTTTATGGTTTTCTTCTTCTTGTTGCTGCAATTTTTTCTTGTGATTTCCTTTTTCTCTTCTCCATCATTCCATATTTCACAAGAAGAATTTCGTGGACGAAAAAAAAGCAAATTTGCAGATTAAAATGTTACTCGAAGATCTGGCATTCACTATATTTCTACGTTTGGAAGAAGCATTTGAACGTGATTAGAGATTGATTCCAACGTAGAGTTTGGCTGGTGAAAAGGAAAATGATACATATGTAATCCTGACTCGAATGGTCGGATTTTCAGCTGTGCAAAGAACGATTTATTCGGTCAATTTACATTATGGCAAGAGGTTGTTTATGATTCGATATTGGGATTTAATTTGTACATATCAAAGGACTTGGATGGAATGCTAGTGTTTAATAGAGTTGCATCGGAACATAGAGATTTGAAACTGGGGAATATATTAGCGCACTTTATGAATGGGGTAATTATGGATTCTCAGTTTGAGGAATCAGTGCAGCCTCATGATGATGATGATGAAGAAAATTGATTAAATTCATTATACTTGTTTGTACCAAATTACTGCTTCTATGTATCCTCTGTTTTTGACTATGTTAAACAGATCGACAATATATTAATTTACTTTCTTTAACAACATCCATGTCGATCAAACAACTCGGGTTACTTCATCATGCACGCAGAGCACGAATGTAAATTCCACAGATCCTGTCCAAGCAAAGATCGACACTCATAAAGAGAAGCCTGCAAAAGACAAGAAGACTCTGGCAACTGCAATATGCTGAGAAGTGAATCAAGTCCAAGGCTTCTGCTGACCAGTTTCTTAGTTTAGGACTTCATCTTAACATAGATTGACAGGGTCCAAAAGCAGTATCCATGCAATATTTAAGCATAAATGACATAAATAGAATTAAATTGAAGCCCTTCCCTATATCCAGGACCAGATGTAACTCTTGTTAAAGTTCCAATCCAATTCAGACAAACACAAATTCCTATCCAACTACACGGGGAAGAAAAAGTGATATGTTCTCTATTAATAAATTTTCCCATTTTGGTAACTGACTGTTTAAGAAGTTTACATGGTATCAAAGGCATACACTATTGAGAAAATTTAAACTCAGCCTGAACAATGAGAGTGCCTTCATTTGTAACATTCACAAAATGTAGTCTGGATTCCGATGTCAAATTCTGCCACCACATTGAATTCCATGAAAAAGCAAACTCTCAATGGGACATTTCCATGCTTAGCTTCCAGCAGCAGTTGACACAGCAACTGGCTTTGCGTCCTCTGCCTTTTCGTGTTCTTTGTTAAGCATCTGAAATAATGTTTCCAAAATATCAAGATGCGAGTATTGTATATAAATTTATGCAACCAATCTTGGCAGGGACAACTAATTACAATGTACAAAATAGCATGCACAATGTGCACTCTTTGCTTTGATTAATCATATAATGTGTAATTGGATTGATTATGAGATAACAGTTCCTCAACAAAGGATCTGGTGCTTGGATAATAAAATGTATATGACCTTGAGGAGGAGGCTGCCAGGTTTTTGTGGTCACAAGGCACCCAAGCAAATTAATCACTTTCATTTTCATTATTTTTCAGTTCATCCACACATTTACGATTGATCCAACCCCACAATCCTCTTCAGGTGCCATTTTAACATCAGTTCTCTTTGCCTAGAACCAACGGTATTCCTTCGATGACAATAAACCAATAACTGGTGTTTAATTGTTAATTTGGTAGAGGCCACCATTTCCATAGAGGTTGATAAGAAAGACTGCTGCGTCTCCAGTATTAAAATCAAGATTCTACAGCGTCTGTAGTTGTTTTAACATGTTGTACAACCAAAAAATTGAAAAGGCTATGAGCAAAATCCAAGGACATCTCACCTTGTTGTTGATCAAGTTATGGAGAGCAATCACACTGCGGATAAGGGATGAAAGATATATGACCAACATCATATCATTGGTCTTCACTGTAAAAAGAAGCACATCAGTAAATCCCATAAAAGACAGCCTCAGAATCCTGAGATACACAATGCCCTTATCAAGAGGAAAATAAAGCAAATAATAATTGAAGGCCAGCTACTTTACCTGCAAAAGATTTAATTAGTTCAGAGACGTTGAGATTTGGGAGTAGATTGAACACATCCTGTGGAAGCGGGACACATTTCAAGATAAGACAGGAAATCATCTGTAATTGTGGAAGTGCATGCATAGAGCACACCAACAATAAGAAATAATAGAAAAGAATGAAGCCGTAGATTTTTAACAAAAATGCATAAGTCACTACTATAAAGCCTCATCGGACTCCAGGAAAGAGGTTTCAGATGTTCAGTTTTACTTCCCCATACTTCTGCTGTTGTTGAACGTCACATTAATAACAAATTCATAGTCAAGAGCTACCAAGTTGCCATAGGATGAAAATTCCCAATCTGAAGGCCCTTTTTAAGTCACATAACAAGATGGTCAATCCAGGCTCAAGTATGAAGCTTACAACTACATATCCACCTCAGGCAATCATTCAACTTATATCCTACTGTATGTTAACTTATTATGCAACATTAGCCAAAATATCAAGAATTATGTATAGATAGATAACCAAAAAACCACCAACAGAAATCATTTTGGAATATTTAACATAAATATTAACTCATGTGCTAATCAATAATTTCCCACGCTTGGAGTTCTAAAGGTAGCAAGGCCATCGATGAAGTGTTTCATAAATAGAAATTGTAATGCAACACAACATGTTACCTGTAGATGGTATAGAATCTCATGGTTTAACGGAAGTTTCCCTTCAACAACAAGGTCAAGATAACCGCGTATTTCTTTCAATCGTGCATCCAATCCCTTCAAAGCTGTAAGTTTTCCACTCACCTGGACAGGACAGAGCTCCAAGTTTCTTATTCTTATTCATTTATACATCAACATGTAAATTAGAGGAAAGAAAAAGAATTCAATCGAGTACTATTTATGAAATATCCTGAGAATCTTGATTACACTAGAAGGAGAGAGGTGGAAAAGAAACCTCTGTTGCTAGTGTACTGATTGTTGTATCCTTCACATCCCGCAACAAGTGTTCAACTCCTATCATAGGAAGTATGAGTAGGAATAGCAGAAAGATTCAAAGAGAAGAGAGAAGGAAAACTAAAAAATGATAATATTAATACAAGTGAAATGCCAGCAGTTGGCAAGTAGGCATCTTCGTTGGATTAAATATATGAAACAGCAGATTTACATGAGAGATGCACATCTGGAATGTGGTGTGCATACCTATTTCTTCAACTTCGTGAGCAGCAATTTCTGAAGGAATGTGAACAAATACCTTCTGGCTTTTCTGAGTTGCATTCTGCAAGTGTATCCAACCATTAGACCAGAATTTTGCACATTTATACCCTGTTTCTACTTTCCACCAAATGTCTAGCTTTGCAATTTTGCAATCTTTCTATTTATATCCTCTTAAAAAATTTTGTGGTTTTAGTTGAGCAAGCAAATATCTAGACAAGTAAAACAATTACCAAAATAAATAAATAAATAAATAAATAGATAAATAAAAAAAATTGAGGTTTTAGTTGATCGAGCAAATATCCAGCCCAGTAGAACAAATACATAACAAACTTTTGTTGTACCTCTTTAACCTCCTCCACAGCATAATAGGCTTTAGTAGGTATTCCAAGCTCTTTTGGCTGGACATCTATAATCACCAAGACAGGAGTGGGGACATAGCTGCGATAACATAAACAGAAGTTGATAATTGAAAGGAAATGAAGGGGTTGTTTGATCAAGCTTTAAATAAAAGTTGATGAAATATGTGGTTTAAAAAGTTGATAAAAGTGTAGTTAAAATTTAATTAAAAACTTTGACCTCAAATTGATAGCAACTTTTTAAGTTTTCCTAAATAAGCACAACATCTAAAGACTGTATAATATGCTCAAAAAATTGTTAATGAGATGGGCAAATCGTAAGAACATAAGGATATCTTTAGCTCAGCTGAGAGCAGAGTAGGTGAAGGATGAAGGGTTTCTTAGACATTTTTGAGAACATGAACAAAGTCCAGAGGTTGGGAGAAAAGCCAAGGAAAAAGGATGTCAAAGATCATAGACAGCCAATGAAATGAATAAGCAGGGCATCTAAAACCATGTTGAAATAAAACAATTTTTTATGTTAATCCTACCATTTTTTTGGAAAGCTTTTAATCCTAACATTTCATACAAAACTTCGTTAAGATCAATAGGAATATTAAAAATCTCAACAGGAACTTGGTCAATATTGGGAAGAAGTAAAAAAGATGAATAAAAGGATTCCAATGTTATTTAAAAAAAAAAAAAAAAAGGGCATTCTGCAGATACTTTTAAAAGAGTTATAAGAATATATTCTTAAATTTCTTTAGAAGCAATCCCATAGATTTGGATTCCAGTATTTTGCAAGAACTACACAGAGGTTTCTTATAGCATTTGATGCAACAAACGTAGGATTTCCATAGCACTTATAAATGCTTTCAGGTTGCAAAGAGATGATCTTAAACATTGAAGACCGTAAAAGTAACATATGAAAATTGGAAAAGAAACTCATAATTCTTTTCAATCAACGTCTTTCATCCACCAAAAGCAGTTTTTCATAAAAATTAAATAAGCTTCCAGACTATATCTTAATAACAAGACAAGCCATTCAATACAGTGTATCCTTCTCTAGCTTGTAGATACGACACATAAGAAGTTTTCACGTCACCATGTTTTCATAGTAGATACGACGCACAAGTCAAAATGTAGATTAGAGGAAAATAGATTCCTTGAACACCAATACAATGGGGAAACATTAGTAACCTTCCATAAGCTTTCATCTTTTGACCCCAACTCCTACCAAATGCAGTAATCTTCATTTGCAAATACATGAATAATTCCAAATGAGTGGAACTTTTTTCTACAAAAAGACATTTTCACCACATATTTATAACATGTCTGCTTTTGCTGCTGTATCAGTAGTCTAAACAACAAACTCAGCAATTACCCAACACAAGAATCAAAAGTTGTCTAGTGTCTACCAATGAAAGGAAAAGGTTAAATTTCTGCTGTATAAGGACAGAAGATCTTACTCATTGAAAAGTGCATGGATATTTAGATCGTTCTCCCGCAGTTTTGGACCAGAGCTGTACCAACCAATAACGTGCTCCTTGGCTGATAAAATTTTGGAGTCAATCAAATTGTGCCATAAACTCCAGCAAATATTTAAACAGAAGCTGCAATAATTTAGAATCACATACCATTTATTCTTCTGAACATGGAAAACATTGATTCATGGTAGTTGTGGTCAAGAAACCAGATGCTTGTGTCTTTGTCATCTTCTTCAAAAGGCACTACACATATCGCCCAAATATAAAAAGCAAAGTCACAGCATTTGCAACACATGAAGTACAAATGAGCTTTCTAAACTCAGAAGATATGCCATGGCAAAAATGGGATATAGTCCTGCTTCTCAAAAACATATTGCATCCGCAACACCGAGCCTATTCTCCTTAATTTAAAAACAGCAGTCACACAGTATTGTAAAGGACTTCTCCAAGCATGCTTTTTTTTTTTTTTCTTTTAACAATTTCAAAACATGTAGTGCATTCAAATGCAATGCCCACTAGCAAGTTTTGGCTTTCCTGTCATTTTCATTAGTGAAAGAACAAATTTATAGTAAGAATGATAGTTATCACAAAGTTCGGGCAAAAATACACTTTAGATTCAGGGTATTCAATCATAACTATTGCCTGTTTGGTACTGCTAAAAAATCTTATTAAAAAGTAAGTCAAAATCAACAATTTATTTTAATTACACATTTCATAGGACCTACAACTTTTCAATCACACATTCCATCAACTTTTTTTTATAAAAATCTAATTTTAATCTATTTGACAGGGGCTATATATGCATTTCATTCACAAGAAGGCACTGATGGGATGTGTTCCTTGATTTACTAATCAACAGAAGCTCTTGAGAGCTATTACTAAAGATTCAAGCCAGAATTTCCTAATCACAAGTGGTACGATCCCAATGAAAGTGTCTCTTAGCTGGTTTACAAGCTTCAGAAAAAAGGAGGAAAATAACAATAGAGCTGGGCAGGGAGGAGATGCTAGTTATCAGGTCATAGAGAGGCCTGGCCAAAGATATGCATACAAAATATCTTTTCATTTATGCTTCTCAAAAAGGTTCTCACAACTGAAAATAAGTTTTGGAAAAACATTTGCAAAATAAATATGCTGTAATGGAAATAGACTTATAAAGGAAACTTCATAAGCAAATAATAGACCAAACGGGAAGAGAAAATGAAAAATGGCCAAATAACTTGTATCTCTTTGAAGGAGTGTCTGCATATTGAATAATCCCAAAATACCCTTCAACTTTGAAAACTTTTTAAAGTCTAAATCCATAGCAATATCGGTCAATCCTTGGCATCAAACCCACCATCCTAGAGAAGTAGAGCAGTAGAGCGTCAATCGGAGAGCATTATATCCTAAATGACTGTCCCAGAAGCACCAGAAAAGTTAGCAGTGACACCCTCGGCCTTTTGAGTAGTGTTATAATCTCGCGCCAAATTTTTAGTAGATTTTGATATAAGTAGATGAAATGCGTGATTAAAAAGTCGATAAAAGTCATGTGTCTCATGAGATGTGTGATTGAAAACGAGTTTGCACGAAAATTAGTTTCAAGAAATGTGGCAAAACAGGCCTATAGTAACGCCTACAGTAGCTTGACAAACCCATTAAAACATGGCCATTTTTTCACTTCATCCTTTAAAAGACTGGCTATTTTGAAAAATCGACCCTAATTCTACTCCAGTCCCTGTGTTGGCAAGCGAAGCCTTACATAAACTATAGAAGCATAAAGCTTTAAGAAAAGCAAACAATAAGAATTTAAATCCATCACTTGATCACTCCCAGTATGTTTCACATTTTTTATTTTAGTTACATTCATTTACAACCATTAAAATCTAAAATAATCCCTCATTTTCAAGTAACACCCCAAAAATTTCCATAATCAAATCCATATAGTTGTTCGTTAGACCTCAAATTCTAATTTTGCCACTTCCGAAGACATATATTTACTTTCCATTTAATTACCAACGAACTAATCCTCGCACCAAAAGATCAAAAATTCATACGCCAAAAAACCCTAAAAATGAGAAAGAAAAATGAATGTAATAGAATTAAAATTAATGGGGGCCAAACAAGGGCCAAAAGTCAAATATTTCACTTGAAACAATTCTAAAGTAACACCAAACTCCTAAACAATCTTAAACTAATTGAAATCCCTGCGCAATTCAAATTCTACACCAACAATATACATAAAAGTCCGAGAACAAGCTCAAAATCGACATATGACAGAAATTAACAGATCCGAAGACGGGGCGGCGAGAAATACTGACCAGCATAGCTGTTGGTGACGTCAACAGTGCCCTTAAAGGAAGTTCCGAG